ACATCTTTAATGTAAGAGTTTTTTCTGTAAAGTCTCGAAACACCTTAATTTTATTTTTAAATGGGACATCTTTTGCCTTTAAATTCTTATATGCATCACCAGGATAAAGTGCATTTTAAAATCATGTTAATGTCACTTACAAACAGACTGTGAAATCTTTTGTCTTGGTTTAAAATGAATCGAAAAGATACTTAAAATTGTAAACAATTAATAAAATCATGGTTAAAATTGCAATGAATCTTTGGAAATTAAAATTTTTTTATTGCTTTTATTGTTTCAAACAATATCTGTATAAATCTACACCAAATCCTAAGAAATTACTGTATTTTCTTAAACGAACTCACTGCTTTTCTTTAGATTCTCACTCCGAACGGAAACATACATACATTAATCTCTAAAATCACAGAAAAATGTCATATATGGACGAAAATTCCGAAATCTTCTATCAAAGTATTTTGAGGACAAACATCTCAAAGCGGAATTTGTCAGAGATTCATTCTTGTAGGTTTATTTAGCATCCTACACGTTTTCCTTATGATACATATTTTAGTCGGTGATGTCCTTAAGCATTTTACACTGTCGGTAAAATTTTGTACATGTTTAGAAGTTTTAAACTTCTAAATTCTACCTAAGCGTGATCACTCAGACGAGTGGTGGGTTCTTATATCGGTCTCAAGGTGGAGAAATAAAAGACAAAGTTGATAGGCTACTTTATCTATTTTGAAGACGTTTCGCTTTCGTATTTTGAAAGCATCATCAGTTCATCCAAAAAGTACAATATGAGAACCACACAGATCGTTTTCATGACTGTGTGGTTCTCATATTGTACTTTTTGTGAAGTAAAAGACGCAGGAGAACATGCTGTCAAATTAAAATGGAGCTTCACAGGACACAATGTCCGACTGAAGGATAAGAGATGGAACTACGAAATACAACAATGGAGGCAATTGTTAGAAAAGAGAAGCAAAGGAAGAACACAAATGAGATGGGCTAATGACATTAAAAAGATCGGAGGATATAACTGGAAGAAAACGGCGCAAAATAGAAGACACTGGATTGATTTGGAGGAGGCCTATGTCCAAAGTTGGAGTACTTAAAACTGAAGAAGAAAAAGAAATTAGGCTTTCGAGTTTACTTAACTCTGTCTTATAAAATACTAACAATAATATAATATACATATAAATATTAAATATTATATATTCTTATTATATATCGCTTCTCCAGAGCAACATCGACGCAAGTACAGATTACTAAAATGCTGGAAAATTGACTTTTAAAAATATTTTTACAGCAAAGTAAACAAAGTGAAAGTTTAAGTGAATATTTTTGAAACTGAAATTACTTTTTTTAATGGTAAATTTAGTCTAATTTTAAATGACAATCTTAGTGTTTTGATAATAAAACTTTTAGAGTCTACACAGATCTCAGAACTTTGCAGCCTCCCAGTTGCGTCATTGTTCTTCCAATGTTTTTCAAATAGTTTCTGAATCGGTTTGAGTTGGTCTACAATAGTAACATTAAAAAAATTTAAAGAAAGGTTTAGGTATATAATTTTATTGTCAGTAAATAATACAAACTACTCAAAATGATAAAAAATAACAAAAACACTACTCAGAATTACTAAAAAGTAACATTTGTTTTTTGTACACCTTTAAAAAAATTAACAAAAACATTCACAATTCAAAACAAGCTATTAAAAAAAGGTTCGTAATATTTGGGAATTATATTACTTGATAATAAATTTTCTAGGTCCCTTTTCTTATTTTCAGAGATCGGAATTTTTGAAATGTATGCAGGTCTTTTTCTAACATCTACATTATCATCTGTCCTTGTCACTCGTCTACTTTTTACGGTTATAGCATAGGCCTGATTCCAATCCACCTGTTTGTAGCTGGTTTTGTAAAAGAACCTATCACTTTCCTTCTCAAATCGAATTATTTTAATATCTGACAATTTTATTTGTTCGCCGTGTATATTTTTCTGGCAGTTGAAGCCGATGTCGTTAGCAAGCGTTTTCAAATCGATGAAGTCATTGTAACTTAATTCTTTTACTAGAAGAGGGTTTCCTTTTTTCTTTGCGTTTCTAATAATCGACACAATTTGATCGGGAACGTATATCGGTCCTGACTTTTTAGCTCTTTTCATAGCTTTTTCGATGATACTGTGGACTACATCACCTTCGTTCTGTGTATGACCTCGGATGAGATACTTGTGTGTTATGGAATTTAACTGAAACTTCTTAATTGCGTAGTAATACATTGCAAGGACAAATCTGTTTTTTTGCTGACCACCGCAGTTATCGGAATAAAGAATTATGTCAGATTGAGGATGTGTATTAGCGATTTCTTCAAGAAATGAAAGGACACATGAACCAATATCGACTGCTCCTCTATGTCCTAGACCTTCATGCCAGAAGTAACAGGATGTCTTGTCATTGCCTATTTCTGATATCGTAAAATTAAAACAATTTAATCTTGATTTATAGTAAAAAGCTGATGTTTGTCCCATAGGTACTGGCAGGACAGCTTGTAGGTCATACATTACCAAAACTGTATTTGATCCGTCTTCTTTTGCTTTTTCTTTGTCTGAAGCTTTCTCAGTTCTACTTAGTTCTTTTTCCTCTTGATGTGACTTATACTGACATTGTAATTTTTCTTTTTCTTCGTCAGGCGCGTTTTTAAATGATTCACACAAGTCGCATTGGTCTTTCTTTGGGAAAAAGAAACCAATATTGAATTGTGTATTAAATATGTAGGCGTAGGCGTCATAGTTTGCAGCAGGCTGGCCCAAATCGTCTTGTTGCTTTTTATAGTGTCTGTGCATTTCTGCAATCGATAAACCGCCATCTATAAACTCTCTTGATGTGTTAGCCCTTTGGTAATGGCTCTCTGTACGGGGTATAGAATTTATATGTGATTTTACAGACACCATCATTTCAGGGTTCATCTTTACCTGTTGACCATGTTTTCCACGTTTATCTTGCGGTACAATTCCAGACCCAGAAGCTTTTGCTTGGATAATTGTTCTAATTGATCTCTCCTTAATGCCAAAAGTGTTCATCAGGTATGTTTTGCATACACGCATTTTTTTTCCATTGTGAAGCAGATAGAAAGCACAGTTCTGTCTTCTAGGTGTTTGGATAGTTCTTATGCGGCGATAACTCAACTGAAGTGGTTCAATACAAGAAGACAAATAATCACGTTGTCTCTGCAGTGATCCTAGATTCCAATACTGCTGAAAGAAATCAGCTCTATGGTCTTCGCTAAACTTCTCTGAACACTTCTGAATGCAACGATTAGAGCAAGTAGGTCCCATTGTTTTTTTATTCACAACTTTTCCAGTTCTTGAAATATAACTTTTTCCTGAATTCTTAAGGAGTTTAGCTTTATTTTTTCGCCATTCTTCTGGATTTCTTACTCTCTTCTTACCTTTTTTGATGAGCGTACAATTTTCTGTATTATTCAGAGGACTTATTTTATTTTCAGAAAATAGACTTCTGGGTCTCTTTTTCTCTTTTATGGTAGGGGTCGAATTTGTTTCACTTTCCGACGATATATTATTTTCTGATGGTACATAGTTGTCACTATCTTCTCCAAATAAGCTGTTCTCATCATCTGAGGAATGTTGCTCATTATAGACTGTTCGAGACATTTCTCTCAAAGTGATCTTGGTTGATGAGTGGGTTTCAACAGAATATGATGTACTGGGTTGTGTTTCATAATTGTTTGAAATACGTAGATTATCTAAAAGTAATTAATAATCAATAAAAGTAATTTTGATTAAAAAAGGAAAGTACCTACCTGGTCCAAGTTCACAAGGCTTATGTAGGAACATAATATTAGGGTCTAAACTCGAGGAATTCGGACTTAAATTCACTGGCTGCAATTCTGATAAAATGACCGCATCATTGAGTGTTTCTGAAATATTATTGTCTTCCAATACTGATGGTTCCTCTGGAGTACTGTTCTCTTCTTGTAAATTGTGAGTGGCTAAATGAAGTATCAGCTCAATCCTTTTCATTATTCAAGATTATATTCGCGTTTTATTTCTTCACTGAAATACAAAAAATCTATTATATTGACTGTTTTTACACACACTATTTCACACAAATATTCAATGTTATTTGAGTTAACCATGACATAAATACTGGTTAAGTGACTATAAAATTTACTATTCAAAAACCATAACGACGTAAATGTGTACTTACGGCTTTAATCATCTAGCAAGTCGCCAGAGATATCAAATTTTCTAGGCGAACAATAACACAACTGTCCGTTACGCTGATGTTTCTCTGAGATTACACCAAAACTTTATTTTATTTTGTCACAATCTACACTTATGTCGTTGTAGAAATATAAACGAAGTGTTCCGTTCGACAGTCTTTGAACAACTGACATTTGCGGCGATTTCGTTCCAACAATATGGCAGAAAGTACATAATTTTGACAACGACGCAACTGCTTTCTAGCGGCCAATAAATGTACTACCTTTATGGTATTGTTCCATCCGATAGAATGGCACGTTCTGACTCTTTTGACACATGTAACTCAAAACTGCAAAAAATTGCACTTACGTCTTTGTTGCTCCGGAGAAGCGATATGTATATATATATATATATATATATATATATATATATATATATATATATATATATATATATATATATATATATATTATATATATATATATATATATGTATATATATATATATATAATATTATATATAATAAATTTTTTCTTATTCAATTGATTCTCAGGATTATGTCTTTAAAAACCATTTCTGTATTTGTCTGTTGACAATTTGCTAGTGGCTAAAGATGAAAGAGGTAAAAAAATAACAATAAAAAAAATGTCTGTAAGTAAAAAGTTTGTAAATAAACAATTGCTTTTGTTGCTAGAAAATTGTTAGAATAAGCGGTGTAAGTATTTCATGTGCTTAGAAGTCCAGTCTTAGACATAACTATACACTTTGTAGTCCTAACTTAGTCTATACATTTTTAGCATGGCTTCGAAAAGGTCTTTTAATCCTACGAGGATGGATTTGGAACATGAAAGAAAGAGAATTGCTGCAGATTTTGGCACAGGTCGGGCCAGACCTGGAGTTATTGAGAATAGATTGCGACTTTTTAATACCATTGGAAGATAATTCAAACTATTTGAAAGAATAGATGGTTTTTACATTTTTTTACATTAAATTTTTATTATATATAATTAACTGAATTGTATTTATAATATAAAATATTATTTATAATATAACTTGAAAGCGATTGTCTAAAATACATATCTTTTTATATAAATAAAATTATAATTATTATAGATCTGTTAATAATCATTACTAGAATTGATTCATAAAATTTAGAAAACAAAGTAAATATCTAATATTGATTTTTGTAGCCTACTAATTAGAAGAAATTCTTTAGACTGTTAAGATTGCTCCACCATTATAAAATTATTAAGTCTCATGCTAAACGGTTTGGTTTGTAACAGCGATGAAGTTCGCACCTTCTATAACGTTCGTATGGTACAAGAAAGTTGAGTTAGTTGAGTATCAGGTTATGAAAGAATTCAAGTAGATAATACAACATATTCGTAAACAAAAAGAGGTTTAAGAGAAACCTTCGGATCTTACAGCCATTAGGCTGAGAATTCGGCTGAGGAATTTGGCTAATTTCTATCTGAAAATAAAACAAAAAGTAGAAATCCGAAAATTTCTAGGTGCTTTAAACTAAAATTCTACACCTTCTGCAATTTTCAAAGCAAGCAGACGATGAATAGACTGACACGGGGAATTTAAAGTTGTCTTCAACAACATATCAATTTATCTAGATAAGCGTTTTCCAAATAGTGGGTCGCGACCCGGAAATGGGCCATGAAAGCAAAATGCTTATTCTCCTACAACTGTCAGAAAAAAGAAGGATTACTGGACCTGACAATATTTTGAAGATTATTTACAGTTCGGTTTTATAAATGGTACCGATGACAAACCATTATGTGTTACTTTTTATGCTGCCCTTTCAAATGAGTCCATGAAACATAAACAATTCAAACTTGCAGCGGTACTTGGAATTGAAGCACCAGGGATACAATGGTAAGCCAATAGATTTTTTTATAAATAAAAATAGAGAATTAATAGCTACCACAAAGACTATGTCTTTAAATTATTCTTAGAATACTCAATCTGAAAACCTTGTACTGGCTTCTTAAGAAGTTCATCGTTTAAAATTTTGATCATATTTTAGGCACTCTAAGACCGAACATTTCGATACGACTTAGTCAAAAGGAACAAACTCTACAATATATTGGCTGAATTGGCAATGGTACACAAGCTAATTAGACTCATTAAAGCCACAATGGAATAAACTCTGGCATGTGTACGAATACAAAATCACCAGACTTTTTCAAAATTTCGCAGGGATTAAAGCAGGGAGCTAGACTGGCCCCAACTTTGTTTAACCTGGCATTGGAGTATGCGGTTAAGCAAATGTAAACTGGATAAGGAAACCTACTGACCAACCGAACGGTTTAACTGGCAGTTTATGCCAAAGATATTAATATTATTAGTAGAACATCAACAGGAGCACAGGAAACATACGCAGAGTTAAAAACGCAAACAAAAAGGCTAGGTCTGGAAATTAACACAGAAAAAGCAAAAATAATGATACAAAGAGAAGAAATATAGTCCCACAAAAATTATACATTAAGATGACATTGAAATGGTTGTAAAGTTTACATACCTGGGAGTAAAAATATATGCCGACGAATCAGAAGATGGAGAAATACAGAAGAAAATAACGCAGGCAAACAGAGCTTATTTTGCCCTCTCTTATATATTTCGGTCTAAAAATATCCATCGAAATGCAAAAATGAGAATCTCTAAAACCTTGATTTGACCAATAGCATGCTATGGTAGTAAAGCATGGGTCCTAAAAAAACATCCAAAATCAAACTCGATACATTCAAAAGAAAAGTACTGAGGAGAATACTAGGACCTGTTAAGGAAGACGAAATCATCAGAAGTGGTACAACAACGAGCTTTATCAACTTTATAAGGAAGCGCCACTGTCAGACTTCATTAGAATACAAAGATTGCAATGGGCCGGACATGGAATAAGAACCATGAAGCCGGACATAAGAATGGGGGAGGATGTGCTACAAAAAGGAGCACTGAATGCTAGGATGCAGGGAAAGAGACCAGTTGGAGAGTCAAAAAAGCACTAGAAAGACACAGTTAACAGCTACGAACAAGCCTTTTTAGTAGTCCTTGTATGGAGAAGATCAACAACAGACAAGCAAGAGCGAAGGCAAAAATCAAAAAAGGCCATAGCTCAATTTGGGCTGTAGTGCCGTAGAAGAAGAAAAATTTTTGGAGATAGACGAAAGAAGCTAAAATTTACCGTTTTTTGACATTAATTTGTAATTAATTAAGTCCAAAAAATCGACTGCAGAAAACATATAGGTTTATGTTATAAAGGTCCATACTACTCAAAACAACTGTCGTTTGCCTGGCCGGACGAGGGTCACAAACAGGTTAATTTTTTTGCTTATTTTCCTGGTCTATTATAGATATTATGCAAAGCATTTACACAAAGTCAATGTTCTAGGAACTATCATAAAGAATATAATTCACATATGTATATTCTTTAACGGTCCCTTACATCTCAACACAAGCACATGGTTGCTATTTGCTCCGTGCGAGACTGACGCGACTACAACCGCTTTCATTTGACAGTTTTGGACCATTTGAAAATACATACGAAATTGACAATTATTAATAATTAGTTTTTTAATTATATTTTTTCAGTTTATGTACAAAATAAATGTACCTAGTATTAAAAACTAGGTTTCTAAAAACTTGCTTTATCTTTTCAACCCCAAACTGAAAAGAAAAGGAAAAATCTAGTTCTAGCAAATCAAGTTTTTTATGTGGAAGAGTATGTAATTAAAAACAATAATAGTAAAAGTTATGATATAAAAGCTAAAGTCTTCAGGCAGGCGGCAGTTAGCTTGAAGCACTATGAAATATCGTTTACGGTAAATTATTTAAATTTTTCTATTTCAATTGCATAACAATGAAATTATGTGTTATTTACTTTTTCATATTAATAGCACGAATCCATCTTTTTCTTTTCTCTAATTTATATGTAGTCTTTGAAAACTTATGAAAACTACACTTACTATTTTTGCTATCATTAGCACAATTAAATACAAAACATGCATTTGAACCCACTTTGATAAAATTTATGCGTAAAAAGATAGGTCCAATTGTGTCATCTTTCGCCGCTGCGCACGCTGGCATCGTTTCAAGGTACCCCTACCACGGTTACGCACGGAGCAAATAAAAATTGCTAAAAGCAGGTATAAATACTGTTTTAAACTTAAGTGTATTTTTGAGTGAAGATAATATATAAATATTTAAACTAATTGCGATATTTCTTTTTCTTCTTTTTGAATTGAAGATTTAATTGAAAAATTTAACTTTGCAATGAATGTTTCCTTTGCATGTGTAGCCATATGTTGGCCACCTATGTTACCACGGTTTATGCGTGTTATATAGTTAAGCTCCTCCCTGTAGAATCCCGTGGGAATGGATACTAATATTTGTATGTAATCACGTGTCTAAAGGTTCCAAACTAAAGGCAAAAAACAAAACAGGCAAAAATACATTTCCATGTTCATAGTAATGTAATATAATGCAGATATATTTGTCAGTGACTTATTAGGGACGTAAATTTCAATAGTAAAAAATACGAAGTTCCTCATGGATATACAAATTTAAAAACATTGTAGATATTTATCAATCAAGGTTAATGCTTATATTAGACCTACCTATTTTTAGCATCACAATATAATATTAATCATAATATTTAGACTAGTTTCCTTTATTACTGAAATTAGAAAATATCTAAAATATCTAATTTAGAAAACATTTATTCCAGCAATGACTACCCAGCTTTATCGGATGATCGGGACACGTAAGTTTTTTGATAGCGTGTGCAGGCTCTAATATTTTCCTATTTTGCTGCTAACCAAAAATAGCTTTTATTTTAATTTAAATTAACCCAAAATACTATATTGTAATGAGTATGTCATAAATAAATAACGAATAATATGCTTTTTTTTTGCTTGCTAAATTTTAATATGAGTTTATTTCATTGTAAAGAGTTTTTATTTTACTGAAATAAAGAATCATACAGAGGGTCCAGAAACTCTTCTAACAAACGAAAACCGGAGATTCCTCAAATAATTTTAAGACGATCTAATCCAATTCACCTAGTCCGAAAATGCTTTTAAGTATTTATGATACTAGATTACTAAATTCTCAGGTATTCTAGAAGTAAAAGGTACTTGTACTTTTATTATTCTGTAGTATATATCGTTTTGTACAAAAATCGATTTGAAAATTTTCCGTTTTTTTTGTCATAAAAGTTAAACTAATAGGTACTTTAATAAATTTTTACTTTTTTAAAAAAGTAATTTTTAAATTACTTTTTATTCCAATAAATGCAGCAACAATTCATAAAAAAAGTTTGGGAAAAGAAACAAAAGATCAATTTGAAATAAAAAAATTTTTACAGGTTTAAAAAAACAAAGAGCTGGAATACCGAAATGAGGAACTCGTGAAACCCCCATCGGTAGATGAAGTGAAAATATCTATAGAAAAACTAAAGAACCACAAATCCCCAGGCAGTAATGAAATTCCAGCAGAGCTATTTAAGCACTTTGGAGAGCAGCTCACGAAGGTGATGCGAGAAATTGTTTATAAAATTTGGTCTGAGGAGCAAATGCCTGAAGAATGGAGCTTAATTTGCACGTTATACAAAAAGGAAAATCAACTGAAATGCATTAATAACCGCGGAATAACTCTCCTAAATACAGCATACAGGACATTGTCAAACATTTTGCAATGAGAATTTGAAGCCTTATGCCAAAACGTTTCTAGGAGAATATCAGGCAGGTTCAGGCGTGAACGTTCAACCATTAACCAGTTCTTTACGCTACGACAGATCTTCGAAAAAGCGCAAGAGTTTAACATAGATATGTATCATATTTTTGTCGATTTTAAAGCGGCATATGACAGTGTCTTAAGACCAAGTCTTTACTCGCTATGAATGAGTTAGGAATTCCAAAAAAAACTCATGTTTGATA